GTATTCTCTGAAGCTCAAAAGTGTGCTAGAAAAATATATTTGGAGGATGAAGAAACACAAGCTTAGAGATAGTAGTATTTTTTAAAAACATACTACAAAACTAGCTCAATACCAGTTGGATATCATTTGCACCTAGTTACAATGGATGATGAAACTACTTATAGATTATTTGCTCTGCCATTACATACATATGTACAGAAGTCTAAGATGAAGAAATGAAAGAATTTTTAACATATATATACATATAAACACATCAATCTCAGCTTTTGACTATATACACTTATCAACCTAAGTTTGGAGTGTAATGTACATATATGCAAATACATATATGCAAAAAAGTCACGGGTCTTTAACCTTCAGTGTTTTAAATATAAACACAAATTAATTTGCTCATATATTTCTAAATAATAAAACAAGATCAGGAAATATAAAAACATTATTAAGTTATAATAAAGCCATCCTTTAAGTTATTAACAAAACTGAAGAAACATTACCAGAGAGACATCTGGATCTTGAAAATAAAACTGATTTCAAACAACAAGGACAGGAGAAACAACCATAGAACCAAATCTAACTAAGCTCTTGAAAAATTGGTAAAACAGAATAAGATGCAAAAAGCAGAGCTGACAGGCTTCTAGACTGAACAAGTTTTAGAGTAAGTAGCACAGCAATACTTCCCAAGAGTTCCAGCTCAGCAAAACTCAGAAGAGACAGCAAATTTCAGCCAAATTTATAAGAAATTTTTAAAAAATTAACAAAACAAAAATAATCCCTAATCCATTACAAGGAAGATCTATTTTAGATCTAAAATCTAAAGAAGCAAAAAGATCCAAAGAAGTTTCATTAATTAATTCTATAAGGATCTAAAAAGAACTACTACTCTGCTATCCTTGGAGCATTTAATCAGATCATAGAGGAACAGATGAACCTTTCATTTGGAAGACAGCAAGGACCATTAACACAGGTTTTTAACACACCCTGGCAGACAAGGAATGGCAATCCCTGTAGATATCTGCACCCCCGTAAACCATGGAACTGCAATTTATTTTAAGAGCAACACTGCAGTTACTTAGTACATCCTACAGACAAAAGACCTTTTTTCCCAATAGAATGGGAACATTAAGACATCGTATTTAAAAATACAATGCCAAAGGGCATGTCCATTTCTGTTTATATAAATACATCTTGATTTCTGACAAAAAGGCGTACCGCAAAAAAACTTATATTCAGAATGACAACCTAAACTGGTACCACTTCACTATTGCTTTTGCTCTATTTGCATGAACTCTGATCACAGCAACTGCACACAAACCTCCAAAAACAGATGCACAGAACAAAGTCTAGAAGGAATGCAAAAACTTGCTTTATGGGAGCAATAAGTGGCTTCTTATTTAAGATTCATTGTGCTAAAGCAGTAATATTTCATATGAACAGATATGGCTTAGTTTTTGGATATGAAAGAAGAATTTGCTATAAACGCACTTTCAAAACATTCAAATAGGATATACAGAGTATTGCAGAGTTAACGAGGCTTTTGGGTATATCACACTATTCTAGGTATAACCTAAAAACTAGCCAGTGTTTTTAAAAAGTTACTAGAACAAAGAAACTTTCATTAACTCATTAAACTGTAATAGTTATTTCAAGCTGTCCTACCATGTATATCACGCAGAAGGCACCAAGAGCTTGATAAGCTCTTCTCACATCATCTCAAGACAGCAAGAGGCCTCAGGCAAGCATAGTAGTATTATATAAGCCTTCTAAAATTTCAATCAACAGGTTCCTGAACACACTGGCATATAAAATCACCTAGCTTAATGGAAGAAGGTGTGGAGTAACATAGAATGAAGAACAATATAAAGATTTCTCAAAGACAGATTATTTGGTTTACTACAAAATAAACAAATATTTAAAAACTCAAGCCCAAAATATTCTGCCTACTTAGAGAAACGATAGCAATTCCAAAAACAATTTCAATCTGTCTGCCAAAGTAATTAATAGAAAATCAAATTAAGAGTTCCCTACAAACAGTAACTCTTTCTATCCAACATCCACCAGAGACATGGTCAACATGCACAAGGCTGCACAGACTAGAGGATGATAATTAGTGAAGTGGCTGGCAATATAAACTGAGATCCTATTGTTTTTCTACTTGCTTACTTCAAAGAAGTTTGTTCTGTGACATTATTATCTTTCTTGTAATTAGTGCTAAACTCTCCAATCACAGAAGAAATAATGTCTCCTAATCACTCAACACATGGAAAATTAATGTGTTGAACATTCTCCGTGATGGATTATCTGTACTGTCAGAAACAGAGCTAAAAGATAGTCAGACCCTTAGAACTACATATGGCAGTCCTGGCTTCCAAATACAACAGAGACCTGCAGCAAATAAACTTAGATTTCTAGCCAAGAATATGAACCAATTCATTTAAATATTAATATAGTCCCTTTTGTGTGTGTGTGTATATATATGTGATGACACAATACCTCTATCTGATAACAAAACCTTACTCTTTTTTTGGAAGGAAATTGAACTGCAAAATGTTTCTTTTGCAAAGATTCTACCACTTATCAGCATCACCCAGTAACTACCACACATTAACTTTTAAGAGCATAAAGAAATCAGCTTTTTGTTTTGAAGACCCAAAGTGCTGCAGTACCAAGTGTCTTATGAACAACACACATTCACAAAGCACTGAAGCAATGAGTAGCTTCACATTCTACTAACTGCAGAAAGAGCTGCACTTCACTGCAAAAGTAACTGAGTCACACACAGCCCCTATTGGTGCTGTGTCTCACAAAGCTGACACAAGCTGAAAAACTCACAGGCTACTGCACTGAACAGAAAAAGGGATATGGAAGGTATCAGAGGTCCCCCCCACAACAATAAGCACAAGTATCCCTACTGACCCTTCAACCCAGCCAAACTCATTCAGGGTACAGAGCCCTACAATCTCCTCTCACCTTCCACTAGGAAAAGCAGCCACTGCCACAACACCTTCAAAAAACATCAACATTCACTTAGATCAAATTTGAACACTAGATTTTCTTTTTCAGCCTCATAGTAATTATACACATTTTTAAAACAAATAAGAGGTTTACCCATCAGACTTTTTCTTATATTCTATTTCTTATCCTGTAAGAGCTAATACCCCTTGCTGGTTTCTCATGTGGACACAAATAACACCAAGGGTAATAGGAACTATCACATTCAATATCAGGGCTCTGGAGACGAGGGTCTGGAGGCCCAGGTAGTCTTTTCCTTAATTATGCCAGTTTGGGTAAATGATAAGAGCAGAAGTAGATGAATTTACAAAGTAAACTGGCTGCACCACTGATGCTGGCAACAAGGTTTTGGTTTAGGACTCTGCTGATTGGAAGAGACAGAACTCAACTCATGAAACAGGTCCGATAAGCCTTTGCCAACAAAATGGCCAACCTGGAAAAGTCAGCTTTGAACTAGAAGTGGGAGAAGAGGAGAGGACTGTGTGACATTCTGTTGCAGCCCTACTGAGACACAGACACAATCAAATACCTCTGTGAAGTGCTGGCACACCAATGAAGGCAGTATAGGGAACAGGCAGCAGGAATTTGAGATCTCTGTGCAGTTACAAGGCTTTGATCTCAGTACAATTACCAAGACATGATGGGACAGCTCACACAGCTGGAATGTCACAGGGAAGGGCTACAACTGTTAAGAGCAAACAGACCAGGAAGGACCAGTGGTGCAGCTGCCATACTTCATTTAACTATCAGCCCTTGACAGTGCAATTTCAAAAGCACTGGTAGCAGCCATGAGGAAAACTTTATCCAATTTCCTGTGCTCAATTAACTGCCTTCTGAGACCAAACCTATACCTAACACCGAAGTCCAGCTCTGGTAACAAGTTATCAGGTCTAAAAACCATTACCAAATTACTGATAAGATATCCAAGCAAACTCGTTCAGAGCACAAGGAGGAAAGGAAAAACTGTCTCTCACCTGAGTAATGCATATCCTGGATCCAGAAAAAGTCCTTTTTTCTCTGGAAATTAACTGGCAATCTCAGAGATACAGAGATAAAGCAGGGTCCCCCTTTCAGAACCTTCATGTCTTTGCAGATAAATAGAATACTTCCACAACAGCAAAAGCAGACTGAATAAAGTATTTCCTACCTACTTCTAACTTCAAATCCTGCCAAGACAACAATCTCTCATCTAGATTCTCATCTCACTGTCATAAAAGAAAGAGCTGTCGAGATGGGAAGAAAGTCTGCCCAAGTAAAAAAGTAATACCAAAAGCTTCCAGATACTTCTACTACATTCAAGACATAATAAATCATTACATCCATCCCATTAAAAACAATAACAAAAAAAGAAAACCTTAACAAAAGAGCAAACTATCTGGCACACTTCAAACTGAATCCTGAAAATAGTAATACGGCAGTGGGAGGAAAGGGAAACAGATTCACAAGACAGTTAACAGAAACCCCTTCCATTATTAGCTTCACTTATGTCTAATGTGCAAAATTATTTACTTTCAGATTTTAATTTTTAAATCACTCAGACCAAGGCTGAGTTCAGTCTCCTCAGAAGAACAGCCTAAGAGCTTAGAATGATCAGGGATCAAACCCTGACAAAAAATTTCATGCTTCACAAAACAGCTGATACTAATTGCTTTTAATGTTTTGATAATTCAAATGCAGACTTAGGTTGAATATTCTGAATTTAAATTAACTAATATTAAGAGAATATAAACATATTAGAGCTCAACAAACTCATGTTATTTAAAGGGGTTTTTGTACAGAAATAGCAATAGATGAGCATTTTTTCTTATTAAATTTTGTCACATACTTCACAAAATACAGTAACTCATTCTTTCTTTAGAGTTGAAAGGACAAAAAGATATTTTTCTTCAACTGAGGTTTGACAAACCTCACCAACAAAAACAGGCACAACTGGATAGCCTGGAAAAGAATTATCTGTAAAATCAAATCACCACCATCTGTGAGTATCTTACCTTTAAATAGGATCCATAATATTTAGTTACATATGGACTGTCACACTGACTCAACACCGTGATTTCTTGTTGGATGTCTTCTATTTCATCTTCTGCTTCTTCTAGGTCAATAATTTTTATAGCAACAACTTTCTGAGTCCGATTGTCAATTCCTTTAAAAACTTCACCAAAAGACCCCTTACCAATTCTCTCCAGTTTCGTAAACAATTCTTCTGGATCTGCCTTCAGAGTCTGTTGAAAAGAAATATAAAGAGAAAAGTCACTCAGTATTTGTAACAAAATGTGGTATTTTTAAAGGCAACAACACTTCAAATTCCGCATATTCCTATTTATCTACCTACCTTTTTCTACCTCCATAATTGTCATATTCTTTCTAAATCCCTTATATGCACACACTGATATGTTTATATTTCACTGTACATAAAGTAAAAATGTAACACTGTCCATGTGTCAGGGTTTTATCCTACTGGCAACAGAAAATGCTGCCATCTCAATTTCTTTTCTTTACCAATAAAGAGTAGCCAGAATGGAAGATCATTACAAAGATTTGTTTTTTATTAAAAGCAAATAGATCAAACACCACTACCAAAAAAGTAAGCCTTTAGTCTAACCTTCTCTCCTTAAATTGGTTCCCTCCTAGATCCCAGAATCCCTCTTTTCTATTTTTCTCGTATCTCATCCTTCCAAGGATTTCATTCACTTTTTTCAGTGCACAGAGCACTATTTCCTTTTATTTGTGTGACAAAATCCTCTTCAATTTTCTCTTACTAAGGATCACCTGCATGAATAGCCATGCTTCCTGCCTCTCCCTGATGCCAAGGTTTTCTCAATCAGGATTTATTTATCCTTTTCTTTGTCCCTCAGTTGCATAAAGTCATCCACTCCTAAAAACCATCCTGTTCCCAGCTTTCTTGATTTGAGCAGTTACATAAAAGCCACGAGTGCTCACCTAAACATGCAAACGTAGGACTGAGATGGACCACGCTGCCACATTTGCTTTTTCTCCACTATTAAGTATTCAGCTCACTACTGCTCCTCACTTTCAGTGCACAGATGGTAAGTTCCACAGTATACCTTCTTAATCTATCAACATGGAGCCTCACTAGCTAACAAAAAATACAAACATTACAACTACAGGGGGGTAGGATGGTATGACCTTTAATGAGCTCTTCCAATCCAAGTTTTTCTATGATTAAACTGGAAAAGTCATAAATAGAGAAAATAGTAATAAAATTAAGAAAGATAGAACAGGATTACTTAGAATCTTGTGCTCAAGAAATAAAATGAATACTTTAAAAGACTTCAGACATATGTGTTTTTAAAAGGATGACACTCATGCTAGCTAAGTGAAAAAACATAGTTCATACAGAAAAAGGCTCATACAAGAAGAATTCAGTAATGCCTAAATAAGCATAAAACCACAGTTTATGCTTAGCCCAACTGTGTAGTAGCATGAAGTGGGGAATGAGAACTTCTAGAGTACCACTGACAAGCACTAAAACAGTATTTTCTTTAACAATTAAATTTAGCTTATAAAGCACTTCCAACCTATACTTTTCTGCTCTCACATCTCAGAGTTACATAATTAACCCATACAGCTGCAGGAGGAAGATAGCCTAGAACACAGTTTCTCTGGAGATATCTAAATTTCACAGCTGAAAGAGGTGTTTTGAGGACAGGTAGCTGGAACTGACTGAACCCAAAGATAAACCCACTCGGTTCTCAAAGCGTTTTATCATCATCTGGCACAAACTGGGAGTACACAATAACTTTTAGTACTTTGAAGTCAGCCATAAGACATCACTGCTTTCAGGTAATCATTCCAGGAACACATCATTGGTGAGATCAGCCCAAAGCAAAAACACTCTAAGTGCACCTACTGCAAGGTTTCACCAGCCCCAAGAAATTCCCCCTGCTTTACATCTTACTGATCCATCCTTTTATGCAAAGTCAGTTTTGGGAAACAAACAGAAGGGCATGGGGTTTTATCACCCTTTTGCCATTAAATGAATGGAGCAAAAGATCCACACCCCTTCCACCAAAACCAGCTTGTTCCTCTGTTTATTTCAATGTAAAGAGAACAACATACTATTACACACTATTAAATATTACATACTATATCTATATATGTATATATTTATGTATCTCCCACTTAAGAAACCAGACCAGGGCACTTCATGTTTTCCCACAAACAGTCATCCCTCAGCTGCACAGTAACCCTTACCAACACTTCCAGGGACATAATTTCTAAGAGATCACTAAAAAACTACAAACCAAATTGTGCTTACTGGTTCTTCTCATGCTTCACAGAATGCTCTGCTCTCAATATTCAAACCAGTCTTCTCTGAGAACTCCTCATGAATAAAAATAACCTTAACACCAGCATCAGATATTTTCCCTTGCGGAAAACAATTATCTGTCTACACTTTCATACATCCTGTGCTGGAATTTGAGATGATGTGCTGCAGAGAGATGTGCACATCTAATCCAACCACACAAGCCTTCTAGTTCCATTCACTAGCCACAGGAATCTGAGCATTACATCATTACAAAGGCATCTGGGTAAACCACAAACCAATCCCAGTTGCAGCTGCCTAAAACATTCCATGTTTCACCTCCTGAGACTAAAAAGCCAGCACTGCTCAGTTGCAGTGCACTGCAGTTGTTCATACAGAGAAAATTCAAGAGCTACATGCCAGCAGCTTTTTTAAGTTCTGCTGGCTATATGGATACACCTCCTATTTTCCCTTTTCCCCTTAACAGTCTATGACTATCATATATTAAAGCTCCTTGTTTCACAGCACCACAGTCTTTAGAGATTTTTAGGAACCTCACAGTTTCTTTTTTACAGTGTCAAGCTCTTGGGATTCTGGTGTTAGGCTGACAGTTTTATAAGACAACTGTAAAAGAGAATTAACAATTACAGAAAAGTGAGGAAGATAACTTGCTGGAAGACCCAAGAAGAAGGGAACGACTGTTCGCTTGAATTTTTATAATCAAAATTTTGCAGCCAGTTTGAAATGTTAATTGCTCAATAATAACACAACTTAATGGGATCAAAATCATTATCAATAATGATAATAATTGATAATCAATAAAAATAATGTTATTTCAGAAGCTTCCTGTGAAATGACTAATTATTAAACAAACAAAAAAACCCACCCTTCCTTCCCAGTTCACAATTTTTGTAAATTCATTCCTTTGTTCTAAAATGTAACAGTTGTCATTCCTGAATTTTCTTCTGAGCAACAGGAGGTAGCAGTTGTTTCAAAAAACCCAAACAACACACTCTTGCTCTGTAAGAAAGGTCTCAGTTTTCTTCTCAGAACACCAGGTGTTTGAAGTGAGAGCCTTGAACCACTGGCAACCTGTGTTTTTGCAAGAACTAAGAGTTGGTTTCTTTAATGACCTGCTGTCTTTCAAAAATAGAGAGATCAGGCTTCCAGATACATAATGCACTGCTTGAATCTGAAAGTACATGAGTGGCCAATTCCCACTCTTTTTTCAGAGATTACATCTGGAAAGGATTCTTGCCAAATTTGATTTTCCTTGGTTTTGTAAATACTTTCAACAGAGACAAAATAAACAAATAGCTTTATAAATATTCTCTCTACACAACTACAAAGAGAAAATTACTTCCACAGACACTGTCACTATAGTCTTGCTGACTCTATTCTTTGCAAACTTTTACTAAGCACAGAGTTTATTCCTACTAATATTAAAATAATGGGAACTGATAAAAGAACCTTCATGTAATGGAGCACATCAAATATTGCTAGAAACCACAGACTGGAACATCAATATCTGCTGCAAATGGGTAAAGCTAATCACCTTGATAAAGAACTAGATCTCTAGCACTACAACATTTTTTTAAAAGCTTGTCACAGAATACATACAGTGACAAATCAAAAACAAGTTATGGAGCATTCAGATTGAATGATTCCAGAACTTTCAATTTCCATAGACACTTGAATTACTTTGCTTTTTATTTCAAATAGTTTTTCACACTTCTGAACACAAACTGCAACCATCTTGTCTCACAGTCCAGCTTGTTCAGCCATGCAGAACAAAGTCCTTTTCACCATAAGCAAAGCCACCATTCATCCAATAATTTGAGTAATCTCTCTGTACTTGTTCCACATTGGATTCATTACTTTTGACCTTAATCAGCCAGAAAAACATACTCCATTTAAAATTAACTCTTCTTAGGACCTAACAACACTGTTGCCTACTTCTACAGAATAAAAATAGTTCAATACATTCTCAGATCCTATTTGTTCAATTTGGTCTCATGGCTCAAACTCAGCTGCAGCCAAAAAAACCAAATTACCTCCTCCTAATGCTCTGTATTTCCAACTAATGAGCTCCCAGACTTTTGCAAAGGCTCTTTGTAATACTCATACTCATGACAAGCTGCACTTCATGCTGCTTTATTCAGTAATTCCAATCCCCAGGTTTTCACAGTTCTTCAGCACTGCCTCTCACATGTAACAGGTGCCTTTAAATTTTGTCTTTTTGAGGCATTGCCTTTTTCTATGCAAAGGTCACTTTTCAGTCAACAATTGTCAAGAACAGTCCTGGAGAAACCAGCAGTGTCACCCACTCTGACACCACCTCTGCAGTACCCTCTTCACAGTAGGGTTACACACATCTTGCAACATATTTATTTTTATGAACCCCCAATTCTCATCCACACTGACTGTCCCTTAAAGCTCAATAGAAAACACTACTGTAATTCAAACTAGTTAGATCCAACTTTATCTATAACCATTCTGAGAGAAGATACAGCTTTGAGTCTTTCTCCACATCTCACTCAAGTTCTTATTTCTAACTTCTTTTTATGAAGAGTTGTTCCAGTTATTATAGAAAAGCATTAAAAATATTTCTCTTTAACTTACAAGAATTATAAAGCTTCTCCATAATCCAAGTTCTTAAGCTTAACTGTGCAACTGATGGTACTTGCAGATCTGTCATGTATTTTTGAAGCTTGCTTGAAACAGAAAATCAATCATCTTTTAACATCTCAATTTGCATACTTTTCATTTCACCGAATCAATTTCCAATTTTTCAGTCCAATTCTCATTCTCTATCAAGACCAAGCCCAAAATATAATAATCTGAAGAGGTTCAGAGATTTCTGGGGATTGTTTAGCCTGGAAAAGAGAAGCCTGGGCAGCTGG